CAGCCGACTCTCCACATATATACAATAAATATACAGCCGACTCTCCGCATATATACAATAANCGACTCTCCACATATATACAATAAGTATACAGCTGACTCTCCACATATATACAATAACTATACAGCTGACTCTCCGGAAATAAGAAAATTTCTCGAGTCCAGGGGCCATACTTTCAAAACTCGCTAAGTGAACGTAAGTAATTACGCTCTATTTTCTTGTCTATGATTGGTGGATTTTGCTTGGAAGGCCGTCAATGATTGGCTGATGAAATTACGATCTCTTTACGCACTACAGATGAAAATTTTCAGAATTGCCACTTCTCAGGACCCGCCGGCGGACTCGAACGCACAACCTAACTTTTCGCTCAACCTAACCACTCATAACTCCTGCAATACTCAACGGATCTGCTCGAAATTTGGAATATGAGTAGTTATTACTAATACGCTGCGGTAGAAATTATTACAGATTTTTAAATTGATAAGTTTTCAATTAAAATGAATAAATGCTTTTTTGAAGGTAGTACCAAACAACTTATAACTCCTGCAATACTCAACGGATCTGCTCGAAATTTGGAATATAAGTAGTTATTTTTAATGCTCTGTGATATGTAGAATGTCTCCATGGTTAAGATTAATATAGTGTTCAAAAGTGTTTTGAAGTGTGTCAACCCCTCCCCTTTTTAACAACACCCCTCCCCTTTTTGACAACACCCCTCCCCNCTCCTTGTCACCTGTCCCTCCATGTCACTTTCCCCTTCTTTTCACCTGTCCCTCCTTGTCAAGTTGTCACCCGTCCCTCCTTGTCACCTGTTCCTCGTTGTCAGCTTGTCACCTGTCCTTCCTTGTCACCTGTCCCTCCTTGTCACTTGTCCCTCTTTGTCACCTGTCCTTCCTTGTCACCTGTCCCTCCTTGTCACTTGTCCCTCCTTGTCTCATATCCTTCCTTTGACATTTGCCAATCAATTTTAAATTTAAGTTAGTCTCACTGTGGAAAACATTTTTGAAGATAAAAGAAATTTTTCTGAAAGAAAACGAAAATCCTGTATGAGGTACCCTTTTGTTTATTGCTGCTGGAACGAGCGACGAGCAAATCCTACCCCTCTCAGTCTCTACTCAGTCTACTCACTACTCAGACTACTCTCTAGGGTGTTCCAAGTGAAAAATATGTTTTGAAGCGGTAGGCACAACGCAGTGACTCTAACCAGTGTAAGTTACGAATGATGAATTATTTCATAATCAAGTTAGTTACGCTGGATCTCGTCGCTTTACAATTTAGCCAAGCCTGTCTGTCAATTCACAGTCACTAAAGATATAAACAAGACAGTGAATTTCAGTCCCTCCTCAAATAGTTTCTTTCAGGAAAGTAATCCAGAGGGGAGACTATGCTAGGATATGCTCACGTGACTTCCGTTCACTTAAATATAAAGTTTTACATCAAACACGAGCAACAAAGCTTCAGAAACGAACCAGCTAATCACAAGATAACTTATTTTTCTCTTATCTTGCAACTTTCCTGGAGCAAGAAATCTATTACCTCAAAGTTGAATAACGTAAAGGGCGATAGTGAAATTATTGTGAAAAAATATACTAACATCTAAGTAGATGAGGACCACACAATTATTGATAATAAATCAAACAATCAAAATCCCATTGAGTATTCAATAGCATTAAGTGAAGTGACCCATTAAATCATAAGAAATAGAACCAGTCACGTTAAATAAGAAAAAATAAAGAAATATCGCGATTGAAAATGCAATAACCCTGAAATAGACTTTTATATACATGTCAGGAAAACATTTTAAATTCAATATTATTCAAATTTATTCTGAAAACACATCAAGTGTCCATTATATATCTTTAGCTTACTAATGTATATGCTCATAATATGACACATTTATATTGTGTCTCAGGTCACATTCAACCAGAGGTGGGCAGTAGCGCGCTACATGGAGCGGCTACATCCATGTAGTAGACATCCAGGTAGGGAAGGTAAGACATAAAAATAACTAACTTTTATTTACGGTATCTAACCCGTGCTAGTTCAGTTAGGTTAATTGCAATAAAGTTGCATTGATATGTTTTGAAAATGTTTTATTATCATTAAATGTTTATGAGTAAATCCTAATAGCAGAACAATAAATATTTAGAGATTTCCAATAATTTTGGCTATTGTAGCGGCGCTACATTTACTGTAGCAGTAGCGGTAGCGCTCGCTACAATCTAGTGGGTGTAGCGGTAGCGGTAGCGGTAGCGCCCGCTACATTTAGAGCATATAGCGGTAGCGTTAGCGCCGCTACATTTCAAAGTAGCGCTGCCCAGCTCTTCTTAGGCAGTAATGCACGTAGGAATTGCTGGTAATCAAAGGGCAAAAATACAACTATACTTTATTGCTTTAATCAATCGATCAAAATCCAATCAGGCCACTTGAGGAACGAGATCCTAAGTACGATGGAACAAACTTTCTAACCAGCGACACGAGGGGCGCGTCAGCCTGGCAGATAACCCTACAGCTTGAGACACGGGAAGGAAATACAGACATTACGATTTACGTATATACATGACATGGGTGTCATGGTGAGAGTTCTCGAGAATTTCTAACAAGCATATAATAGATAAGAAGGCTCACAAACAAATATAACATATTCAGAGCCATCATTACTAGTGATCTTTGTGAGAAACGTTCTGGTTCCTCATTTTCCGCGCATCCATCAAAAAGTCACTAGCCTTTTTTGACTTCCGTAACGAAAATTTGCAGCAAAGGTGAGTTTCATCAAAATTTGAGATATTTTGGATGATGTCGGGCTACCTAAGCTCCCGCTTTTCCACGTTAAGTCGCGTTGCTACGCCGCCATGTTTGTTGCACACTCGCGCCTTAGCTTACTCTTTCGTTCCTACACGTTTGGATGTTTTGGTGGCAATGGAGAAAGAAAGAAAGAGCAAAGCAGAAAGGATTAAGCCAATGTCAAAAACTCCTTCCTCCAGCGAGAGACCGATATTCAAGAAAATTGTTCGACATTAACGATGTTGATCCCTACGAAGTGCAGCCAAAGCCGTGGTGTGCAGATTGTGCAAGCCTGCCTCCCGTTTCACACGGTGATTTACTGAACTATTTGGTGCAGTTATTTGGCATTGATGCGACTGAAAATTACTAAAACACAGCCATGTATATTGTAAACAGATAAACCTACTTTCGTTTTGGAAAGAAAACTGCTTGAGCAGAACCAAGTTTATCATGATGATCAAGACCAAAGAAAAAAAGGAAGCACAGCTGTTATAATAGATATAACTAAATATACGGGCACTCTCAAAACAGCATTAACGGCTCCAACTACAAAGCTGTGAATAGGCTTCTGGCTCGTGAATAACCATTAAAAAATGACAATGCATACCAGAGTGAAAATGTCTTAAGCAGACGAACACTTTCTGTTTAGTTTCAAATGTGATGGCCCCACGTCGAGAATTTCGCTGCCTTGGCCTTTCTTCACGGCAGGTAAACTGAAGAAACGCATTCTATTGTCCAGTTTTCTGTTTAGATAGTCGTGAGAACGACTGGTGAATTCAACAACGGCGCAGTAACATCCCATCTTCAAGTAAAAATTTCGAAAAGAGACAAACGCAGTAGATAGAAAACGTTGGTGAAAGCTAGACCATGCAACAATTATGGCGGCCAATCCCACAATGCATTTCGCGATTCGGTGCCGTGACGTCATCCTTTCGACGCCGATTCGTCTCAGGCCAGCGAGACTGCTCATTAGGAGCGAACAATGTATCACACAGCAGTACTGGCAGCGGACCAGCCTGCTCGCAGCAGGAGCAGTTAGGCGCTTCTCATGCGCGACAGTCACGAAATAAATGCGATGTGAAAGCTTCATGAACAGAGCGTCGACGTACAAGAGAAGGAACCGAGCAGCAAAATATTTAAAGCAACTAACTCAATTTTTTGCCGTAGATTTCATCAATTTAGGCATTGGGCAATAGAAAAATTTCAAAATTGGGCACCTGAACGCCGCTAACTTCTCAATAACACCTAACAAAGATTAGCAGCACGAGTTTGACAGTCTACTATCTCTCGAATTCTTAAAGTACTAAGAGCTCGAATAAAAATCACTAGTAGTATTACATTACAAGATGTCAAACTTTCATCTTTCAATAACACGCACATGTTTCCTCAAGTTATTAAACCTAGTCTACGTATTAGCTTAGACTAATTAAAAGATGCCTGAATGGGGACCGATATAAGAAGACCCATTCCGCGCATTAAGCTGAGCGCAAACGTATTGAGTTATCAACCTCTCACTTGACAATTAAAAGAGCAGGATGGTGTTAGGATAACTAACACAGCGTTGAGTTGGTACACGTAAAACGTCTCACTGTTATACCGAGAATTAATTGTGTACGTATACCCATAAAATGTTGAACCATGAATATCGTACCGATAATCGAGACGTTCAGGTTGCTCAGTTATCAGGAATATTACGTACGATCAAGGCTGTATGTGACGATTGTTAACAAAACACAAATATCGTGACGGGCTGGGGGGGGGGCAAATACCAGTACTAAACTCGTTAAAGAATTGAATTCAACCAATCCAAAAAAGAAGGGATTTCTACACAGATGAATTTGAACGAAAGTCAATATTTCTGAATGTGCACATTGAAAAGACTGCTGACAAAACACAAATAAAACAGAATCCTTCATTATTCTAAAGTTCATTACTTCGTGATATACACGGTTCCTAACGAAAAACTTCACACAAATTAAAATCAAGTTGCTCCTGTGTTGGCTTTGTCAGCATCAATGAAATAATTATTTCAGACATTGGTGAGAAATGGACAAAACCTAGGTCCTTCGAAATATACATTAAATTTAAAGAAACTTAAAAAAATTGTACGATTCATCAATGTCTTGTAGTGGAGCATATACTGCAAGCGAGGTATGCAAAATTTCGATAGTTCTTTTCACCACAATAACTTGCATTCGCTGCTTCCTCACATTTCGAAAAAAAAAAATAAATAAAATATTGCACGAAAATTTTTACCCTCCCCTGAATAAGCTCATTAGCGTGATGCCATCTCTACAGCAAGAAGTTACGTTACAAAATAGATGATTGAGCCAACATTCCTCGTAGCTACGAGATTGTCCTACGAGATCAATTGTCCCTGTCAGGACACTAATGTGACTTTCCGAAATGTTCACAAAAACAACGATAGGATAGCAAAATATGAGCGATTTTTCTTTTTCGTCATCTCGCATACTGGCTGAATGAGACTAAGTGCAAATGAGAACATGAATCAGATCATTTGTGCTTTTCAAAAGAAGGCATCCAAAGTAACAGTAAAACTTATACCTAATTGGGTCCTGGGAATAGGGGTCCATTCAAATATTATTCCCCTAAGTTGAGACATTGATTCCCACGGACTAGTTTTAGAGCAAAATTGTAACGTTATGTTGATGACAGCCGAAGGTCATCAGCAGTACAAACGACATCAACATAACGAACAGCCCAAGCAGCACAAACGAAACAATATGAATGTAAATATCCAAATTTGAAAGCAACTTATGAACTTAGTTCGAAAAAAAAATCATTTCGATTGATCATAACCATTGAGACGAGCAAAAGAAATGATTAATCACTGTCAAATTTATAAATAACGTTCAACCACATACACCTTGAGACAATCTTTTCAATGGTATCATCATGAGGACACCACTGAGAACTCAATGCATATAATAAAATCATAGAATATTACAGATTTCCAGAGATTCAAGAATATCTGCGCAGCATGACAGAAGTACATGTCCAAGTTCTTATAATTAACTGAACAAAGTAACAACTTAAATTAAATATAAAAAATAATTAAAAGTAAGAACATGAGAAATACCAGCGCACTTCGTCGGTGAGAAAGCCTGTTCTTCTTAATCTATGTCAATTGCATTAACGATCAAACTCATCAGAACACTGCAGCCAAGATTCTGGAGACAAACATTATTAAATACGTAGAGACGCGTAACTTCTATGAATCAGTCTACACTAGACAGGTTTTAAGGAACTCTGTCGAGAAATGCCACAAACAACCTTAATAAAGGAGCCACCGTTTAATTTAAGGAATGTTAATATAAACATGCGTGTTGGGCCTCACCCTCTCAATGGCGATGTGACCAAGTGAAGTTTTCTGAGTTCTGGCATCCAACACTTAATCATCGTTGATTGATCGACAAATAGTTTGCATGCAGATTTCCTCAGGCCAAATGTTATAGTTAACGAGAAATTGAAAACATTTTTCAATAAGGTCCTATCACATGAACATCTCGCCTGTGGTACACAATTCAGCGGTAGAAAGCAGCACCAACATGCGCATATATAACAAGTTACTTGCCCGTAGATAAAAATGTGAATTATCTACTAGTTGCTGCATTGATCAACAGCATCCATTCACTCTCACTTCAATTGACGCTGAAAACGCACACACTCAAGTTAGTTCATGGTCGGGTAGTACGATGCTGGTGTAAGATTAGTAATAGGTCAGATTTTTCAATCAGTCAACGCATACAAATGCAAGGGCAGTCTATCAGAAGCAGCACAAGAAAATCATCAGTTTACATGTCCTTCCTAGGCCTGTGTTCTCGCCGCGCCTGAGCACGCGTGGACACGCCGTTGGTAGCGCGGCGGTGGGCATCGTTGAGGCGTCCGTCTTGATTCGCACTGGCCTCGGACTCCCGAGTGTCCAGGCTGGTTCTTGCGCTCTGCTTCTTTACTCCGTTCACCTCGGTCTTCTTAACGCCATTCAACATGTGCGTTTTCTGTAACGCGACAACCATAAGTTGTTTGTGTAAAGATGTTGACTTGAAAAAAGATGTCCCAAATAAAAAATTTTAAAGCCAGAAACTATGAAACCGAGAGTTAATCGAAAAGAATGTAGGTATTGTTGTAAAAACGTAAGTTTACTTTCGAGATTATCCAAAAAGCATCCATGACATCTCCGTGATATTACGTGACGCTACCTTTAAAGACTGGTTGATCAGCGCCAAAATAGTTAATACAGGTGATAAATCAACTACTTTAACGTAACTTAGTAAGAAGACGACAAAAAAAATTAATGAGTCAAAAAGAGCAAAACATTCTTAACTTGATATCATTAACTATTTAGAAGTAGTGATCTATTTGAATGAATTACTCAGTTCACGCTTTACTTGCTAACCAAAGTTGTACGTTCATATCTGGCAATTTGTCACCAATTATCCAGTTTACATTGACTGAGGTATAAGCTGTGGAAACTCGTTAACAATTACCTATATAAACCAATGCTGGCTGTACGCATTCTAATACGCATTTTAAACATTACCAATGGGGTCTCGCAATGAACACTCAGTGTAGTAAACTTAATTTGGCGTTATGGACATAATTTTCAAAGGGTAATCTAAATGTGAATTAAACTTGAGCTGAACGCATAGGAAACACGACGTTCGGAGTGAGATAATTGGATAAAAATGTTACAAACGCTACCTTCTCTGCCATATTGAGGGATTGACAAAAAATTCTTAACAGCCTTCTTTATTCGGAATAAAAAGCATACGGTTTAATTCTATGTAGTCTGAGCCAGGAATATTGCACGCACAGATGATCACACATAGAATAATTTGACAGTGAATATAACGTGACATAGACAACATAAATAATATGTAGTAAGTGATCTATAAAAAAAGAAAATTACAGACAAAATTAATAAAAATTAGAATTTTTGAAGCAAATGCCCATTAGAACAAAATGAACAATAGAGATAACATTACCTTCTTTTGGTAGCTGGCAACATAGAATTGTCCGAAGAGTATGATGAAGGAGAGCATGTAAGCTACAAGCGCCCACTGCATCCAGAGAGGGAAGTTGCAGCCCACAATGAGAGCACGGATGCCCAGCACCCCCGCACTGCTGAACTGAATCTGAAAAAATCATCCACAGCAATTCATCATCTTCATATGCTTTATGAATGAGAATATTAATTCTTTTAGTTGAAACATTTACAACAATTAAATTGGAGCGCTAAAGAATAATGAAATTTAGTAAATGGAAACTTTCAACTAGCATTAATTGCTTGTGCCAGAAAATTTCAGGAAATATGAATCAGTACTGTCAATAAATCTTGATGAAATGGTCACAAAATTTAATAGGTGAGAATTAATTGTTCATATTGAAGAAAAATTAATGAAAAGTACATTTTACTGATTGGAGCGCATACAAATTATCAGAGTTACTTGAAGAATACCATATATGTTTACGAGAAGTTGTTTCAATGTAATACGTAGTTGCAGCCAGAACAAAGGTACAATGGTAAGTCGGTTGGCCATCACAATCCATTTTTGCCGAACCATACAGATTTATTAGCGGAAAAGAAATAATTAAAGTTCATATAAAATAACATTTATTTGTTCATCATGAGACGATGAGTATGAACCGTAGCCATACCAGCTGAATGCAGGTGATGTGTTTCTTCCACCAGAGATAACGCTGAACGCGGGGACCTAGCGCAGCAAGGCCGTAGTACGAGTACATGATGACGTGCACAAAGCTGTTCATCATTGCCGCCAGGAACGCTGCAAAAAACCACAACGATCAGCAAGCTTTAGTTCAAGATGAGCAACATTAAATGAAAGAGTTCCAGGGACAGGTTAGCAAGAAGCTTTAAGGAAACGTGACCGTACATGAAGTTTTTCATGTTCAGAAAGTATAAACAAACTAGTTAATAGAAAATAGCATTATGAAATGAAAAAAAAAAAACATTTAACATGCTGTTTTCGTCTTCTAATTTGATGAAAGGTCACTTACACGACCCTCCAGCAACAAATTTGACTCCAATCCACCACAAAGCAAACATGGTTGAGTGATGATAGATGTGCAGGAAAGTCAGTTGGTTGTTCTTCTTGCGAAGAATGAAAAAGATTGTGTCACAGAACTCAACCAGCTTTGATATATAATACCACCAGAGAGCAGCAGCCATCTGTTAAGAAAAGTATCTTGTCACACCAATGCACAAATTTTTCATGGCAATAATGACAGTTTAAACTTTAAATGAACACAAGCATAAGCCGCTATCTCTAATTAAATCTTCCGAAACTTTACTTTCATTAATTTTTCTGCAAACAGAAGTCAAAATTCAGTGATTAAATAAAATTTTTGGTATACGGTACATAACACTAGCTCAACAAAATACCCTTTTTAGTTCAGTGTAAAACGTTGAATATGTTGGGCTAGAGTTTTTAGCCGTTTGCTTCTCCATTCTCCAGTGGAAGTCATTGCTTGCATGAACTAACAACCTAACTAGGATTTCTTCCCAAATATCCATTAAATTATTGAATATGGGACATAATGCGTGTTGACTTGCATGAAACTTTTTTACAAAGATGTTCTAAGTAATATATTCATAATCTTATGAAAATATCTATCTCAATTTACTTTGATTAAGATATAATTCATATATGTGAGTACCCTAATAGCATTATGAGTGGGATATTGTATTAACACGTTGACTACGTATTGGTACATATGCGTACCACAAAATGTATGTCTCCAGGAGGTTGTGTTACATAATTCAGGTTGCCTAAAATCGGCCAAATCCGAGAACAAAAAAAGCCAAAAAAGGCCGATAATTCAATGTATACTAGTTTATTTGTAGGTTCCGCTATGAAAATTTCATTTATTTTCTTTTTGCAGTATTTAAAATTTAATTAGGAAGTACCCCTATCATAAGTTTTAGCCGGCCAACGCAATTGAGAAAAACTAAATCACGGAATTTGTCCGGAAAATATGACCGTCTGGCAACCCTGATTAAAAAAAGTACAAAAAATGAAATAATAGTACAAGATGAAGCAATCGTAGTCAACGTGTTAACAGATACGTACCTACAGTGGGGGGAAATAAATATTCGTACACTTGAAAAATCGTATTTTAATGTATGTAAGTACACAAACTTAACAGGAAAAGTGATTTAAATTATGTATAGAGACGCATACGCCTCTATACATAATATAAATCACTTCTCCTGTTCAGTTTGTGTACTTACATACATTAAAATACGATTTTTCAAGTGTACGAATATTTATTTCCCCCCACTGTATATGAATTAATTACCTCAATAACTTATTCCACAGAGATTAAGAATCAAAGGCCTGCAAAAGGCCTGGACCTTAAAATTTGGGAATGCCAAGCTTCTTAATTGTTTTGGAGGAGATGAAGAAGAGTAATTAGTTGATCAAGCTTTCAATAGTACATACCCTAACTTGGTACGGCTTGTTGGAGTAGTCAACAGGCTGACAGAACCAGCTGTAGCCCAAATGATATGATACCACAGCCAACTGCACACAAGAAATAGCTGAATTTCCAACAAAAACAGAAAATAATATTAGTGGAGATCAAGTTATTTCTACCTATATCACAATAAGGGAATATTCCAACAGTGAGATTATTCTTACATAGTGAAAGCATTCAAGTTAGTTTACAGGTATGTACTGAATGGACAGGCAGAATTTTAGAGCCAAAACACATGAAGATCATATAGATTGAAAAAAATATAACTCAGTACTCACAGCAGTGAGTGACAGAAAGCGCATTTTCCGAAAACTTGAGGTCACGGACAGACGGACGGACAGATGGACATGGCGAGCACAATACCTAGTGCATTTTTTCCATAAATGAGGAAATGCGCTAATATGGAAATTACTGAAAATGCTAGTGAATTTATTCAAGATATATTGAAAAGTCACAAAAAATTTGCATTGAATGTACTTATCTAGTTAACCAATTAACTTAATCCGTTATTGATATAATCCATTATGTATCCTATATCATATAGCATGATTTTGATTATTTCAATCCATGTAGAGATAGAAGTAATAAAGGGAAAAAAAAGTGTGAACCAGATGATTGATTAATTTTGGCATTAGATGAGGAAAGAAGTTTCAGTCAACACCACCCAGTAATAGTATAAAAAAAGGCAAAAAAGTTGCCATAAAATGCAAATGTATGAAATAAATGCATATCATCTCACCATTGTATGTATGCATAAGATCGAAATTATGAGAAGATCAAGGTATTTGTATTCATACAAAATCGCATGTTTACAGTACTAGGCTTTCTACACAAATCCTCAGCCAAAAATACATGATAGATAAATCAAATGGAAGTTCTAGTGAAAACTATCTGAAAATGCAGGAAGAATAACATGCAGATATTCTAACCTCAACTCCAATATATAGGTTGAGCACCATCATTGCCAGGTTGTAAAAAACCAATAAGCGTCGAAACTCAAAAGGCTTTCTATTCTGCATGAGATCAGGACCAAGCTTGACCATCAACAGATATGAGCCAACAATTGCAAGTGTGGGCCATGGAGATGACATCAGGGGCCAGTCAGCCACCCGAACATCTGTTATGAAATGCAGTGAGAGCAGACTGCTATGTAATCTGCAATACTTCATATTAATTTTAATTGAAGATGACACATATTTAATTGAAGATTATAAAGGTACATATACATATGTATGTGAATAAACATTTTCTAGAATTAGGTTCTAATCCATACAAATCCAATGGATTTTGATTTGTTTCAATTCCAAATTATTGATATTTTTGCAGAAGTGCATAGAAATACAAAAAATTTAATTTTATTGTTTTCACACTTGGCATGATGAGTTATGAACAATGCTGTAATGATGAGTTATGACCATTGCTAAGATATATTTAGCAACCGCATGTTGTCCAAATTTATCATCTTGCAGACGAGTCGAGGGAAATGGTCAAATATTGCCTCGAATGATTGGCAGATGACCTAGGGTTTCTTCTACTTTTTAATTACAAATCAAATCAGCTGTAGGTTAATTTTAATATTTATATTTTTAATTATGCATAATATATTGCTCCATTTATTTTAAGGCAAGAGAAATTCTCAGCAGTATCTTTAGGAACAATAACAAACAGCAAAGGAGATGAATATATAAAGAAGTGGGCAGACTTGCACTCGGTACACACACAAACATTTATACATTTAGAGTTGAATTCATTACACTATCTTGTCAAGTTCATGCTCGGTTTTTGAGCATTAGCTCATGTAGCTACACTTGCCTGAAGGCATGTTAAGCAATGAGAAATTAAATTCTAACCTCATTTTCTTTTCAAGTAAATACACAAGTTAAGATGGATAGGTACACCAATTGAAGAAATCAGTAATAATCTCAAAATTTCTAGTCAAGAATTGATCAAGGAATTCCAATTCTCTGGCAACAAATATTTAGTGTCATGGTACAAAGAAATGTCACACAAGCCAAGTAGAACAAACCTGCATGGTTCATTGACCATTTATACTGCACTTGGACCTTTTCCCAGGCCTGCCACACAGCGTTGGCTGCCATTATCTGAAAATAAACCTCATTAAATAAATATTTACATAGTTTTCATGTTATCATCGTATCATGTGATATTAGAGAAATGGTCACAAATAAGAAATTTTTGCTGTCACACTTTAACAATTTCTTTATTTAATTTTACCATATCTTGGGAATAAAACTCTGTCTTGATTTACAATGCAGAATAATAATTTACTTATTCAACAGCAAATGCTCCAAATTTCTTGTATCATTTCCTTTTAATTTGAATCCAAAATTAATTTAATACCGTAAAATGGGGAAACTTAGACTACTTTTTTTAAATGATGCCATTTTTTTACTAGCTAAATTAAACTTAGATTGAAACATGCAAAATACAGGTCTATACTCTAGGTTCACTTACAATAAATTGCTGGCTCCTGCCTCTCATAGTTTTTATGTAATTTCAAAAAAAGTGATGGTCTTTGTTACCCCAGCTCTTGGGGTATCTTAAACTGGGTGGTAAAATCAATTATATTTTTTGGTAAAATAAATCCAAGTAACTCCAGGTTTTGGTGCATTGTAGTAAGACTCTTCTAGTTACATGTGCAAATGACAAATTTGAGCAAAGTGTCATAGTTTGCAAATGGGGGGTGCCACCCCCAAATGGGGGAACTTAGACCACCTAATGTCAGCCGTGAAGGGGTAATATTGACGGCGGCTTGGAAATTAAGTTAAAATTACCACATATAAGACTCTGTAGAGTCTGAAACATAAAGAAAAACATTAATAGGTGTATCGAACATGAAATATGTTATATAAGGTAATTTTAAATCAATTTCCAAGCCCGTCTATGTTACCCCATCATGGCTGACATTAGGTGGTCTAAGTTCCCCCATTTGGGGGCACCGCCCCCTATTTGCAAACTATGACACTTTCCTCAAATTTGTCACTTGCATATGTAACTAGAAGAGTTCTACTACAATGCACCAAAACCTGGAGTAATTTTACCAAAAAATAAAAATTTGGAGGGGATTCTATGACAGGCTTTATATAATAGCTCTTTTTTGTGGGTCACATTTTTCATTTTTTAACCTATTAGATATGCATAATTTTTTTATCTCTCTATTGTGTTACGTAGCCTCAGTATTAGGCCTTTAATGCCCATTGACAAAATTTTTCTATGTCAAGTAGTTTTTGAGTTCTGGGGGTTTTTGTTAAAAAAACTAAAAGTGGTCTAAGTTACCCCAGGAGTCTAAGTAACCCCCTTTTATGGTACATTAACTATATTTCTTGATCATGTTTGAGACAAAAATATGAATGAGTACCTAAATCAAAAATTAAATTCCGTAATTAGGTTTAATTTTTCCATCTATGAATATGTGACGTTTTACTGAGGACTAGTTTATAGGTGATCATGCTGGTTGCAAGATGCTTTGTGGCTTGTGCCAAACTTTCCAGATACCTAGGACATATTGTAGCTCTAAGCCTCTAATATCCTATAATTTTGGAAAGCATGACAGTGTTAGCAGCATAAGAATTGACATTTGACAGTAAACCAAATCATCATATATCAATATTGATATGTTATTTGGAAGTAAATAAATTTCAGTAAAGAGTTCTTAGGCCTATTTGCATATAGCACAAATTGATGTAAGCTGACAGGCACCAGCCTCCAGCTCCAGCCTGCTGCCTGTCATGGTGCCAATCCATAGGTTATTCAAAAGAACCTGTTCTTATGTCATTTTGAACCGATCAACACTTCTTTATGGACCGATCGTAAAACACACCT